TTTTGCTTGGGGATAAATATTTCACTTGTCATTTCAGTAAACAAAGGATGTTGCAGCAAAAGGCTGTTATCCACTGCAGCTCCGCCAAGACAGTGTGCCCTGAGGGGAATTCAAGGAGAGGAAAACAGGATGGTGTCTTGAGGGAGTTAAGATGCATATCATAAACATGACTTCAATAAGCCCAGACTCTTGCCTCTTTTCATAGAGAAAATCATGAAAAGGAACTTCCCTGATGGTCCTGTGGCTAAGAATTCACTGGTCAGCGCCAGGGATACAGGTTGGATCCCTGTCCAGGAAGACCCCACAGACTATGGAGCAACTAAGCCCAAGCGCCATGACTACTGAGCGCCTGACTAGAGCCTGGGGGCCATGACCACTGGGGACCAGCCCACACCCCGGTCTCACGCTCTGCAATGAGAGATGCCGCCAAAAGGAGAAGTCAACACATTTCAACTCGAGAGTAGCCCCTGCTTGCCTCAACCAGAAAAGGCTGCGCTCAGCAAGGAAGACCCAGCATAGCCAAAATAAGCAAACAAATAAGATTATAAAAATAAATAAATAACAATTGTTTAAAAGCATGAAAATCATTAATTTGAGATGTATCGTGTTCATCATCTGCAATAATCTTTTGATGCTTTCTGAATGTTTTTTCAGCCCTTGACCTTATGTACTCTGGCTCTCCTTTTTTTGAACGGTTCCTCAGAGCCACCTGAGAAGATGCCTTTCTGGCTTCGATCTTCTGTAAAATCACTGAAGAAAGCATATTTGCATGTTTTAGTTTGTTCATTTTTTTGTCATCTGACCTGCTTTTCCAAGACCTTTTCCCAACCCACAGTCTTGCCCCCACTCACCTGACTGAGTTCCAGGGATTAGATGAAAACTGTTGACTAAAACATGAGTCACCACCTGAAAGCAGAGTGATTTTATTTCATGGTAGTATTTTTTTTTTTCTTTTTACCCCCAGTGGGTATGTAGCTGAGTTCTCCTGATAATATCTTTTTTCATTTATTTTTATTAGTTGGAGGCTAACTACTTTAGAATATTGTAGTGGGTTCATGGTAGTATTTAAGAGCGAAGCCCAGGCTTCTCCGGTGGCTCAGAGGGTAAAGAATCTGCCTGGAATGCGGGAGATCTGGGTTTGATCTCGGGTTGGGAAGATCTCCTGGTGGAGGAAAGTGGCAGACCATTCCGGTATTCTTGCCTGGCGAATTCCTGGAAGGTTATCTGAGTGTCCACACAAAGACAATCCACCTGTAGCAGATGGGGGAACGCTGGAAGACCAGCCCTAAACTCAGCCGGGAGCTGCTCACGGGCCCTTCCTCCTGAGAGGACAGGGAACCTGCGGGCCTTTCCAGGGCAACCCCCAGTCCCAATCCCCTTCCTTACCTCCGCAGGAACTCAAATTTAGACAACTCCACATGGTTTTCTCCAGAGAGGGAGCTTTTCTGTGAGGCCCCAAGAGGGCACCTATGCTTGGAGAATTGGTTGGGAGAGCACAGAGCTCCTCTCTGTTCAGCCAGAGGTCAGCCTTGGAGGCTCTGTGGGGAGGAGTGGCGGGCAGGCCTAGCGAGGTCCTTCTCTCCTTTCTTTACAGGGTCTGCACCCCTCATCGCCAGTGCCCCAGGGGTCCTGGGGGACGCCAGTTCTAGACAGAGCTGGCAGAATAATTAGGAAGAACTCTAGGGTCCAGAAGTTCAAGAACTCCTGCCCTTTATTGAAAGAGAAGCTGCAGACAAGGAAAGGGGAGACCGAGAATCCTAAGAGGTGAGTCCCTGGCCCCCACTTTCCTCCTGCTGCTGCCCCGCACCTGTCCTTATACAGTGAAGGGGTCAGAAGTGCAGGCTGGGCAGGTTCTGGGAAAGAAGGTCTAATCACGTGGAACAGTTGGGTACCACAGCCAAAGAGGCAGACACATCTCTGGGGTTGAGTTGCTAGATTCCTAGCTTCAATCTCATTTCTAGAATAAAAGGGAGAAGCTGTCTGGCAGGCAGTGAGCAGTGCTTCCTGCTTTCCTCCCTGAGTCTTTTCAACCAAAAAATATGTTTAGATTTTCCTAAAGGAAAGAAATCCACTTCACATTTTGTGGGTGTGAATGAACTGTGAGCAAGTCATTTTGGAAGCACTAAATCTAAACTTAAATTAGATCCTATTAGATCCTATAAGATCCTATTAGATCCTATTAGATCCTAATCCTTAAATTAGATCCTATAAGGCTGGAGTTTTATTCTCAGTTCATTTATAGCTGAAGCAACAGATAAATACATATTTTAGTATTTTAACCAATGCTGTCTTTTTCTATTAGAAAATTCAGAATTTTAGCCTATATTCATCTAGTATGTGCATTTTCTTGCCTTTTTCTTTAAACACTTTTTATTTGTATTGCAGTATAGCCAGTTATAATTCTGTGGTGGGTCTTCCCTGCTGGTCTAGTGGTTAAGAATCTGACTTCCCATGCAGGGGACATGGGTTTGATTCCTGGTTCCAGAAGATCTCACAGGCGCTGGAGCACCGAAGCCCACGTGTCACAACTACTGAGCCACTGCTCTAGGGCCCTGCCCCCAAACCAGGGAAACCACCTCAGGGAGAAGCCCGAGCACTGATTTGCCCCAGCAGCCCCCCTAACTGGAAACATCCCCTGCATTGCAAGAACACCAAGCTCAGTGAAAAACAAGTAAATTAATCTGTTAAAAAAAAAATGAGAGAGAGAGGAGAGGAGTGATAATATTGTGGTAATTTCAGGTAAAAAGCAAAGGGGCTCACTATAAATATACTTGTGTCCATCCTTTCCCACACTTTCCTCCCATCCAGGATCCCACGCAAAATTGAGCAGAGTTCCATGTGTTTTACAGTAAGTTCCCAGCTGTATATTCATGAAGAATAAAATATTCCACTAAGACATCATGGATGAAGAGGAACTCTCCAAATTCAACACTTTTCATATACAAGAACAATACTTGTATGAACTAATTGTCCATGAGAATTAAAAACGAAAATAGCCAGGGAAGTTTAGGAAAAAAAAAGTTTAATGAGATGGCAATAGCTTTAACTACACTTTCAAATACATCAATAAACGAAAATAAAAATGTGTCATCGTTGTAGATGAATTCCCAAACTGTTTAGTAGGTATGAATTAAAATACTGACATACAAACTATACAAGTCATAATATAATACAGTTTGAGTCTATGGTAAGAACATGATTCACTTACAATCTAGAGCAGGAGGAAGGGGTTGGGGCAGAAACCTGCAGAAATTCAGACATGATCTGAAAACTCAGGGCCACTGGGTCAAAGGAGGCTGGTTTTAAGGAAAAGCTAATTCAGGTGGAGGGGTTACACATTTTTAATTTCAATGTTTTGATCAGTGAGAAATCTCACAGGCAGTTAACGGGATGCAAACACACATGGAAATACTGCTGCCCACGTGCCAGTCCCACTTCCAAGGTAAGGAAGGGCCAGCTCCTCACCTCAGAGACATGGGGCAGAGACATCAGGGCCTGACAGTTTTCTTTAAGGCAAATCTCCTACTTCCAGTCAATCAGATCTTCCCTCCCCAGCTCACTGCCTGAGTCCTGAGGGACAAGGTCACAGAGAAGGGGCTCACAGACCCCTGGAGCCCCTCACACATCTGGCAGGAAAAGGGTGAGGAGAGCAAACCTTTCCAGTTCAAGGAGCTCAGTCTAGTCCAGGGTGCCCCGCAGCCCAGTCAGCTCAGGGTTTACTCCACGAGGCGTCATTGCATTGACTTTCTCTCTGGGTGAACGTAAGGTAGATGGAGAGGCCAGAAATTATAGCACAAGATGCCTTCTTTCCAAAAGGTCCCACTTTATATGAAGATGGAAGGAAAGAAGGAAGGCAAATGAAAAGGCATAGAGAGAAGAGCCCGTGGACTTTTGCTGAAAGTTCTGTCCCTTCAGGTTGTGAACTAAACTCAGTTGGAATCCGAGTCAGAGGAATCTCCTGAGGACGATGAGCTGGAGCTGCAGTCCTCCGGCTCAGAATCTCCATCCTCATCCTCACTGCTGGGGGCTGAGGAGCTGCCTTCCTCCTCTTCCTCATTTTCTTCTGATCTCCCTGAGGCAGGAGAATGTTCTCCAATCGTGTCTGATGATGCTAACTCTGCAGCCTGAAGCCCCGGGTCCTCTCTAAGCCTTCCTTGCAGATTCCCTGATGATGGGGACTGCAGATCCATCCTTCTAATCTTCGGGTTTGGGCCCCCCGTCATGCTCATGTTCTTACGCTTAGCACAGGTCGCCTCTCTGTAAGCAGCATATTCTTCAGGAGAGAGAGTCCTGAGCCAGAGATCAAGGTCCACCTTGTACTGTGTCTGCATTTCCTCCGCCTGCTTCTTATAAAGCTCCTTCTGGTCCTGGGGGACCCGCTGCCAGCGTCTACTGATCTCCACCATGCGCTCCCTCGGGGGCACCACTTTCAGCTCCCTGCTCGACCAGAGATCCTGGTGGAATTTGTGATAGCCATTCATTGGGGGCTTCTTGGGCTCTCCCTGGAATTTCCACATCATGGGTAAACTTTTTTCTTGGGGAGACTTCACTTTTTGAACAGTCTCCTGAAACTTCTCTGGCACTTTCATTTCACTTCTTCGGGAGACACCAGATTTCGTGGGGTTTGAGACTAAATCAGGGTGCTGTTCTCTGAACAGAGCTATTTTCTCCCTAAAATCCTTTTTCTCTTTCTCAAGATGCTGACCGTGTTTCACCTTCAGCTGCTCAGGCACCTTCCTGTGTTCCTCAGGCAGAACCCTGGTCAGCTCCTGGTTGCTTATCTTGGGGTGTTTTTGGATGTACTGGGGTCGCATCACTTGGGAAATGTGGCGGTAAGCTGTCAGGGACTTCTTGAACAAATAAGCATGTTTCTTGTGTTTTCTGGTGTTTTCTTGTGTTTTCTGTGTTTTCTTGTGTTTTTTGGAAGGATTGCTAACATTTTCCTTAGCTTCCAGGACTAATTCTTTCAGCGTGCGAAACTTTCTCACCTTATGGGAAACCTCTAACCATTTGAGTTTGCACATTTCCCCAGAAAAATCTTTAAAAGCTACTTTTTCCCAGTCCATCACTGACTGGGCTGTTTTGAACGTGTGCCCGCCACTGGATGGAATGTTTTTCTCCATACATTCCAGTAACTGCACAATGTCTTCCTTGGACCAGTCATCTTGGCGTTTAGGCATCGCCATTTCTGGGTCTTTGGGACACTTATGTGATCCCAGCAGTTCGGGCACCTCAGCAGAATCTTCAGCTTCTTCACTCTCAAGATTCAGCAGGTGAGTTATTTCTGAAGTCCTGTAGTGTGTGCGATCTTCCGTTTCTGTGGAGAAAGAAAAGGAAAGTTACTCTCCTATGTGACACAGGTGAGAAGCACTGCCCGCCTGGCATACGTCCCTTCTGTCATTTCATTTACCCTCAAGAACGTAAATGAAAACCCGCCCAACCTCTGAGTTGAGAGTCCTGTGAGCATTATGAAGCTTCTTTTCACAATTAAAAATCCTCAGTCCTGACCCCAACTTGCCTTCCAGTCTCACCACAGTGGGTTTTACATAGAAATGAACAAAAGCCTGGGGACTCACTCAAGGGACAAAGGATGAGAGAAAAGGAAGGGAAGTTAAAAATAAAAATGCCTGACAAGCAAGAGGGCTTTAAAATAGCAATGAGATGCCACAGCACATGGACAAGAGTGGTCAAAATCCCCAAGAAGGACCAAGTGCTGAGAGGGTGGACTATCAGGAAATTTGATTCATTTCCTAAGGCGATGAAAACAGTACACGCCTTCTGAAAGACAATAAGGCAATTTGTGACAAAACTAAACACCTCCTACCACGTAAGTCCGGACTCATGCTCTTTTGTGTTTGCCCAAATCATTTGAAAACCTATATCCATTAAAAAAAAAAAAAAGACCTGCAATGGGATGTTTATAGCCACTTTGGTCATAATTGCAAAACTTGAAAACAACCAAGATGAATCGATAAAGAAACTCTTAAAGAAAAAAACAACAACAAAACTCTGGTACATCAAGGCCAAGAAATAGTACTCAGTTCTAAAAAGTAATGAGCAATCAAGTCAGCAAGAGACACGGAGTATCCTTTTATTCATATCTCTAAGTGAATGAAGCTAAGCTGAAAAGCATACATACTTCATGAGTTCAACTATAAGACATTCTAGGAAAGAGGAATACATGAAAAAAAAGATAAATATGAGGACAGTGAAATAAACTTTGCTTCCCAGCAGTTAGGGTGATGGGACTGATGAATAGGGGATGAGAAATGATTTTCAGCATTCTAACACTTCTGAATATCATAAAGGTGGATACTTGTCACTGTATATCAGTAAAAACTAACAGAATACACAACAACAAGAGTGAACACTAATGTGAAACCATAGACTTTGTGTGATAAGGAAGTGTCAGTGGAGATTCCTAAATCATAATAAACAAACCACTCTGAGACATAATGTGATAGATAACAGGGAAGGCGGGGGCGGGGGAGAGAAACACATGCTTATTCTGGGAAGGCAGGATGTAGACAGGAATTCTGTACTTTCTGCTCAGTGTTACTGTGAATGCAATCTTCTCTAGAACAGTAACACTCCTTAGGATTCTGGGCATAGCTCCCTTCTAAGAAAAGTCCAGATGGCCATAGCATGAATGTGCAGTTGAAATGATAATTGATATAATTCATCTAAGAAAAATGTAGTAGATATAATTCATCTAAGAAACAGGTCACCGAAGTACAAAAGGAAGATGAAGAGAAGAGAAGGGTAAACACGCATATGTAAGGATTGAAAAAGAGTTTAAGTGGTCAATATTTCATTTCTGGTGAGGTCAACAGACATTATAATAAGGTATATTAAATACAACTGTATACAACAAGACCCTTTCCTTGTGACTCAGCTGGTTGAGAATCCGCCTGCAATGCGGAAGACCTGGGTTTGATCCCTGGGTTGGGAAGTACCCTGGAGAAGGGAAAGGCTACCCACTGCAGTATTCTGGCCTGGAGAATTCCATGCACTGGATAGCCCATACACAGAGAGTTGGACACGACTGAGCAACTTTCACTTCACTACTTCACAATAAGCCAAGGACTCTCTGTTTTGGCTGAAATATAAAGATGACAAAACATGTCTCATCGGAAGCTCATAGAAATGAACAAATAGGAACACTGACCTATGGAGGCAGTGCAGGTACTTCAGGCGCTGGCAGGGAAGCCCGTCTCTGCACGTGTCTCCTGCACTCACACAAGAAGAGTCTTCTCACCGCCTCTGACAGAGCAACCTGAGAAACAATGAGATATCACACACAGTGTATCACACAGAGTGTATCTGCACTAAACAAAGGTACTCAAGTTCAGTGTTCTATTTTATTCTATTAAAACTCAGTCCCTTCTGTCTCTAAGAAAAATGACTCTCAAGCATAACATTAATCTTTGTTTAACTACGACTTTCAGTTCTGAGAACTCTAACAATTGAATTTTCTCTTCTCTTTGAGAATGACACTCTTCAATTTAAGTGACCTTAATGTAAAGGGAATGCATTTCTTTGATTAGCACATCAACATACTCCCAATCATATCAGATTTGCTCTACTATTAGAAGTTTCCCCGTTTGGAAACATACACATTCCAAGTCACAATAAGACCAATTCTGGGACTTCCTCGGAGCTTCAGTGGCTAAGACTCTGTGGTCCCAATGGACGGGCCCAGCATTTGGTCCTTCATCAGGGAATTAGAGCCCACATTCCACAGCTAAGTGCTCACCTGCCAAGATACAGAGTTCCTGTGTGGTGACTAAGAGTTTGCATGCCCCATCTAAAGATCCCTTGAGGTGCAAGAAAGATCTGGTGCAGTCAAATTCATCAAATCCATCAATCAATAAGCACACAGTTCCATCTAATATTGTGGTTGTTTAGTCCCTGAGGCCCGTGTGACTCTTCTGCAACCCCGTGGACTGTAGCCCACCAGGCTCCTGTCCATGGGATTTTCCAGGCAAGAACACTGGAGTGGGTTGACATTTCCTTCTCCAGGGGCCGTTGAGACCCACAGATTGAACCTGCGTCTCCTGGCACGCAGCTTCTTTTCACCTGAGCCACCAGGGAAGCCAGCCATCTGATACACTGTGCTTCAAAATAAATGACTGAAGTTAAGAAAAGTTTTCACTTCTATATCAGAGTGAGTGCAGAATTTCTTTTCCTTTCAGCTATCTGGTGTATTACCAGTGTTGTTTTGAGAGCCATCATCAGGTCTGGATTACTATTGGACAATTTAAAGGCGGAAATCCCAACTTTTTCTTACAAATACATTACTCTTCATGCTTTACAGCACAGTTTCTCAATCAAATTTTAGGTATCATGCTAAATGGAAAAACTGTCTAAGAATTCCCATCAAGAAATTCATATTTTCCTTTTATATCATGAAATCATAAGTTCATAGAATCACTCATGTTCATTCACAAATTTCAATGATTTGAAGGTAAGCCTATAGTTTCAGAGTGAATTCTAAGTAATAATATAATTCTTATGAACTAGTTGTTTTCATTTGCTTAAGAAATTCTTAAGCCTGCTACTGCTAAATTAAAATTATCTTTTTTAATTTTTGAGGGAAAGAAATATGAATCCATCTACTCAGAACAATCTACTCACCAGAAAGTTGTAGCTTTGGTCTCCTCAGTGCTGGTACAAAATCAGTCCCGTCCAGTCAGGAGTTCTATGTTCTCTGGATGGGTCAGCAGCTGTAACTTCCAGAGCTGTCCACGGTCCAGCCAACTCAGAACAACTGTGAACAGAAGAAACACTGCATCTGAGATCCACCAATCAGGACTCTGAGGCCCCTTCCTGATTAGATTACCACAGTTCCCTTGGATAAACCCAATCAACACTAACTGCACTAAATCTCTTTCTAATCTCTATATGTTAATAGAATCCACAACTGAAGTCCCAGTCCTCATCTCTGAGTTTTATATTGAATACCCATTCCTCTGTGATTTTAACGATCTTACATTCTCCTTAAATTCCCTCCATATTTGATTTTAGTTTGCTAAGATATTTGAATATGTATCCTTCCATGATTTGATAATTTCTGCACTTTATTCACAAGCTCTAAGGCCTAATAACATATCAAATTTACAATTGTCATTAAAACCTCTTCAGTTCTAATGCATATTCTACCAGTGTATAGAATAGATCAAAATATGAATAATTATTGTAGATTAGTTTGGGAATTTGAGAAAAAAGAGGCTCCAAATTCTGGCATCCATGATTGATTTAGTTCTGATTTTAGAGTGATCAAACAGGAACATTGCATTTTTAAAAATACAGTTGCTTTGTTGAGAAAAATTTGATTCAACCCAACATGGTCAAAAGTATATCTAGCTTGAAATGACTAGTTATTAGGCCAAAGAATGTTTTCAATAACAGATTTCATAACTGTCTTAAAACTGACTTCTTCTATTTCCAAAATTATATATCGATGCACTTTGCAACTAGTATTGTGAAACATGGAACAGTAGGATATTATTTGGAAAACCTAAATCAGTGAAATATTTTGATACTTAGCATCAAAAAACAGTAAATAACTATAGCATTATTTTGGGTATATACTTTTACTTATGGATGTGCACAGGCAAAGCTGAAATCATATACCAAAACATACACTGGATTGCTCAAATTTCTGGAGGATTCCATGGTAGTTAGTAGATGGGATTTGCTAAAAATAAATGTTTCATCTCTCTATATATAATTCATAGTTTTTGATGAACTGCTCTTGAAAAAGCACAGCTATTTTTCTTACATATATGACATTCACATAAATAGTTTGCAGAGGTCAGTAGTTCTAATTAGTTTTAATATAATATTTTATCATCCATAAAAATTAAGGGAATCAATAAATGTTGCACTATTTATAACACAAAATTAAGATTAAATATTAGTAGATTCACTATTAGAGAAAATAAAAAATTTCCAAAGTGTTCAGGTTCCAAATAGGGAAAGGAGTACATCAAGGCTGTATATTGTCACCCTGCTTATTTATATCATGAGTATATCGTGATATATATCATGAATATATTATGAGGAATGCTGTGCTAGATGAAGCACAGCTGGAATCAAGATTGCCAGAGGAAATATCAATAAGCTCAGATACGCAGATGACACCACCCTTTATGGCAAAAGCGAAGAACTAGAGAGTCTCTTA